TCATCATTGTGCTGTTTACTATCTGTCTACGCTAAATCAAGTCACAATCTCTCAAGGGTTTAGTTTCCGTATCTGTAAAATGAAGGGTTGGATTAGATGATTTCTAATGTTCTAATGTTGACTTCAGCCCAAAATCCTAAAAATCTACTGTCCTACTTATCTTTTCCTCTATTATCCCTTACCTATCTCCTTTTAGAAAACTCAGGAGGTGCTTGAGAAGTAAGAATTTAAATCTTTGCCCCAAAGTGAAATTGGTTTACAATGCTTTACTTTCTTCCTAACTCTTGCTACTCCTAAAAGAAAAATACCTAGATGTGTTCTGATTTACTTTTTTTGATTCTGCATTTTTAAAAAAATAGATTTTATTTATATCTTTTGTCTTTTTTAAAGTAAGTTTTTATTGATGTCTTTTGGTTTTTATGCATATCTTTTGTCTTTGTATCTCCTACATGTCCTGTTGTATCTTTCTCAAAACCTCCTTTAAAATGTCATCACTTAGAGCAAAGAACAAGAAAAAGAGAGGAAGAAAAGAATAATTCCAGCAAAATCAATCAACACATCAAAAAAGTCTGACACTACATGCAGTGTTTCATACCCATGGAGCATCACCTCTGCAAATGAGTGAGGTGGAGGTATCTTATAAGTATCTTTGAGCCCAAGCTTGGTGGCTATCATTTTCTGACGTTCACTTTCAGGGGTTTTCTTGGTGGATGTTCTTTCCATTTACATTTTTGTAGTCATTGTGTATATTGTTTTCTTTACTTCACTCTGAATTATTTCATGTAAGTTTAAGTTTTTATGTATTCATCATATTCATCGTTTCTCGCAGCAGAATAATATTTCATTATATTTGTGCACTATATTTAGTCTTTCCCCAATTAATGGGCATCTACTTTGTTTCCAGTTCTTTGCTACTATCAATCATGATGCCACAAATATTTTGTTGTATGTGTCATAATCACTGTCATCATCATCATCATCATCATCTTCTTCTTCCCCTTCCCCTTCTTCTTCTCCTTCTCCTTTCCCTCCTCCCCCTGTCCTTCTTCTCTTTCTCTTTCTCCTCCTTCTCCTCTTCGTCTTTCTCCTTTTCCAGAATGATTGTGCCAAATTACATATTTACCAACGATGCATGAGTGTGTATGTCTTTCCACAACCCCTCCAACACTGACTATTCCCATTGTTTGGCATCCTTGCCAATTTGTTGGTTCTGAAGTGAAGCTTCAAGGTAATTTTGATTTGCATTTCTCTTATTAGTGAACTGAAGCTTTTTCTGTATAGTTATTAGAAGTTTGCACTAGAAATTTTCCCAATAAGTACAGGTACAAAGTAAGGATTATTTCTTTCACTGCCATTATTAATTATAGTTCTAGGAATGCTAGCAATAGCAATGAGACAAAAGAAAGAAATTAAAGACACAATGTTAGGGAAAGATGAGACAAAATGACCCCTATTTTCTGTTGACTTCATGATTTACTTTAAAAAATCCTGGAGAATCAACAAAGAAACTAATTAAAATAACTAGCAGCTTCAGCAAAGTTCCAGGCTACAGTAAACTCAGAAAAATTAGCATTTCTACATAAAAACAACATCCAGGAGGCAAAAAATAGAAGGGGGGGTCCCATTCATAATAACTATACCAGACATAAAATATTTGGGAGACAGTCCACCAAAACATACATAGATTCATATATATATTCAATAACAAAATTCTCTTTAAAGACATTTTAAAAAAAACCAACTTAAATAGCTAAAGGATATTGAGCATTAATGACTGGCCTATGCCAATAGAATGATGACAATATCACCAAAGTTAATTTACAGCTTTAATACTACCAATCAAACTACCAAAGGAATACTTTATAAAGGCAGACAAAACAACAAGATTCATTTGGAGGAACAAAAGAATCCAGAATATTAAGAGACATAATGAAAAAAGGTAGGAATGAAGGATAAATAGCACTTCTAGACTTTAAACTATATTTTAAGGCAGCACTCATCCAAAACTTTTTGGTATTAGTTAAAAAATAGAAAAGTAGAGCAATGGTGTAGACTAAACTAGGAAGAACAAAAAATAATTGAACTCAATATTCCAGGTATTTGAAAAATCCAAAAACATCAATTGCCCAGGTAAGAACTCTTTATTTGATAAGAACTTCCGAGAAAATTAGAAAGCCTTATGACAGAAATTCAAAATGGATGCGTATCCTGAGTATTGAAAATCATTATATTAAAAAGTTAGAAGAGAAGCAGGTAACATACCTTTCACAGATGGGTAAGATGTGTATTCTTAAACAAGGGATGAAGACATTTTTGAAGGATAAATAGATAATTTTATTATATAATTTTTAAAAGCTTTTGCGTAAACAAAATGTAGGCATCTAGAATAAGAAGGGAAGTGGTTTACTGGAGAGGCAGGAAAGGAGGGGAGAAGTGTGTATAGTAGTTGAACTGGATGCCTCCTAAAGACCTTCACAATTTTAAACCTATGATTCTCATGTTAAACTGTGCAAGGCCAAGTCCAGATAGATCTCTGAAGCACTTTTCTAGACACGTCCTTCCAAGTTGACATCAAGCAGTTAATCTCTTAACCTCTCTTAACCTGGCCATTAAATCTTTGAATTAATTTCATAACTAGTCAACTCTGGTCTAGACTAGTCAACTGCTCTTTCCAAAGTCACTTATAACCTCTTAATTGCAAAATCTAAATTGCAAAATTGCAGCATTCTATAATATTTGACACTGTTGACTGCCTTCTTTTTCTGGACAGTGGCTCTTCTCTGGGTTTTTGTAACACTGTTTTCTCCTGGTTCTCCTCCTCCTTTTCTGACTGCTCCTTCTTAGACTCCTTTATAGGATCATCATCCATGACCTTCTAACTGTGGGAGCTCTGACTTTGTCCCTTTTCTCCATCTACAATCTAGACTCATTCTCTTGGTGAGCTCATTAGCTCTTGAGTCCAGATATAACGTCTATGTAGATGACTTTCACATTTTTATGTCCATCTCAGTCTCAGTCTTGAGTTGCAGGCCCACATCACAAGCTACCAATTAGACATTCAAATCGCAGATCCTACAGGCATCTCAGGCTCAGCATGTCCGAAACAGAACTCATTTTTCACTCTTAATCCCACTTTTCTTTTAACATTCCCTATCACTGTTGAGTGTACCACCATGCTTTCAACCAAATTTACAACCTTGATGTTATCCTTAGCTCCTCACTCTCATTCTTACTCACTGCATATATCCAAATCATTTGCCAGATCTGGTGCTTTCTGCCTCCACAACATTTCTCTGATATGCCCACCACTCTAGTTCAGGCCTTCATTAGCTCTTATCTGGACTATTTGGTTTACCTGCTTCAAGTCTTTCCTCATGTAGCCACCACAGTGATTCTCTTTAAGTTCAGGTCTACCCGTATCAACCCCCTACACGATAATCTCCAGGGTTCCCTATAACCTCTAGGATCAAATACATGTAACCCCCTCTTTTTGGCATTTAAAGCTCTTCACAACTACACCCTTCTGCATTTTCTAGTCTTCTCCATATTCTCTACAGTCAGCCAAATGACTTTCTTGACATTTTTCACTCCATTTCTCTCTGTGTACCTTTGTAGTGGCTGTATAAAATGATCTTTCTTCTTTACCTCTGTCTCTTGGATTTCCTTGAAGATTCAGTTCAAATACTGTTTGCAGAATGAGATCTTTCCCCATGTTCTCAGCTGCTAGTGACTTCCCTCCAAGATTTTTCTTGTATTGAATTTGTATATATTCTATATATGTACATGTTGTCACCCCCATTAAAATGTAAGCTCTTGAGGGCAGGTACTATTTTGCTTTTGTCTTTAGTCTTGCTACAATGCTTGGCACATAGCAGGGGATGAACTAATTTTTTTTTATTGAATGATTCAACCAATTCTAAATCACCCTTATTGTACTCATCACCTCCATCTTTTCCACAAGAATAACATGAGATACTTTTATCCATTGGTTTCCTAAAATCTAGGTAAACTGCCAAACTTGGAGTTAGGAAGACCTTGGGTCTGCCACTTCCTGGGTATTTGATCATAAGCAAGTCACATAATCTTTTTGAGGCTTGGTTTCCTGATCTATAAAATGGAAATAATAATGCTGGTAGTACTTACCACGAAGGGTTTTTGTGAGGCTCAAATCAGATAATGCAATCATTAAAGTGATTCTATGAATGCCAGTTGCCATTTTAAAAAATAAAAAAATTATAATACAATCTAGGTAAGCCATAAAAGGGGAAGCAGCAATTTAATCACTGATGTAATAAAGAGCTGGCCTCAGAGTAAGGAAAATCTGGATTCAATTCCAGTCTTTGACTGTTACTGGTTGTGTGACCCTTGAGAGGTCACTTAACTTTTCAGTGTTCCCAGTCAACTCTCTGTGACCATAATTTGTAGGACAACTGAAGATTGGCATTATCAAAGGGAAATTGCTCAGGGAAAACACAGTTTTGAATTAAAAAACAAAAAACAACCAAACAACTCACCCCAAATCTCTAAACTATAGTTATTTTTATCAATTCCCCATACCCCATCACAGGTTCCCCGCCCACCTCCACCCCCATAGCGCTCCCTCCGCTGGCCCCACCCCCAGGGTCCGGTCACCATGACTCCCTCCCGCATCCTGGGCGCTGGGCTACCCTCAACCCCCAGGCGGGGGGCTCAGGCGAGGCTCTCTGAAGGCCTGGCCGCCCCCTCTCCCGCCCCAACGGTGCAGTTGGACGGTTCACTTCGAAGGCCAACTTTAGGAGAGGGTTAATTAGGACTCCCTAGAGCTGGATTTGGGCTCCTCTTTGTCAACCAATCCTCTTTTTAAAACACTCGCACAGAAGTCGGGAGTACGGGTTTTCTTTTAGAGGTCTGGGGGTCAGGAAATGGAAAGTGACCAGATAATTCCCTTAATTCCTTCATTTTGGCTCATCAGGCTCCTGGATGGAGCAAGCTGTCTCCGCCGTCTCCGATCTGACTCTTACCTGGGTTCTGTCTTTCCACCTTTGCATTCTGCGAAGACCACGCTTAACCAAATCTCAGAAGGCTTGTTCGCTGCCATGGAGGGACGCTGATTTATCCTAATACTAGCCAAATATCTTCCTAACCCCCCAACCCCCCTTCCCTTGACTTCAACCCCTTCTCCCGCCCCTTTCCCTCCACCCTTCCCACCCACGTTCTGAGACTGTACTATCCGGTACCCAGCATCCTCTCTGACCCAACCTTTCAGGATTCCATTCTCTATTGGCTGGACTCTCTGGCTGCTGTTCATAAAGCATCTCATTCAGGAGTAGACCATCTGCCCTAGGAAGGCTTTCTTCCTTGTACCCTTATTCCCTGACGCCTGGGGAAGTCACCTACTCTCACAGATTTAGCTTTGATACCTGGGGGACTTTTGCATCTACTTGTCTATTACTGAACCTAGCTAGCCCCATCTAGCCCAGGGGGCTCCTAAAATGTGGCACTATGATCGTTCATGATCTTTTGCCTAATATAATATCAAAAGCACTCATGTTAATACTTAATATGGTAAGATATTTGCTATTTTTGAAGTAGATACCAAGTATGATGGTGCCTCCATCAAAATCACTGCCGTTCTTTTTACTTATTCAGGTGATGTTTTTTTCTTTTATGGTGGTAGGCCGAGCAAAAGAGCTAGATGAGCTCAGGATTATTTTCCTTCTCTCAAGTGCTTTGTAACCTCCAAATGTTTGAAAACTACTAGTTTCTCTTGTAGTGCGTATGTGGGAGAGGAGACAGTAATGTTCTAAAAAGAATGTGATACTCAGGAGACCCCGATTTTAGTCGTGGTTCAGCTGTTAATTTACTGTCTGAAACCTTGGTAGAATAAGTCACTTTACCTCACTGAGCCTTATTTTCCTCATATATAAAATCAGAGCATTGGACTAAATGACTTCTAAAGTCCCTTTCAGTCATATAGGATCATAAATTGGGGAATAGTTAAACAAATTATGGTTTATTCATATAATGGAATACTATTGTGCAGTAAGAAATGATGACAAGGCAGTTTCAGAGAAACCTAGGAAGGCTTACATAAACTGATCCAGAGTGAAGTATGCAGAACCAGGAAAACAATTTATATTATAACAATGACATTGTAAAAACAAACAATTTTAAAAGACTTAAGAACTCTGACCAATTCAACTTTATATCAGGGGACTGATGATGAAGAGTGCTACCCATCTCCTGATAGAGAGATGATATACCAAATATGCAGAATGAAGCAAACATTTTTTAACATGATTAATATAGGAATTTGTTTTGCTTGACTATGCATATTTCTTCCAAGTCCTTTTTTTCAGTGTGAGGAGGAGGAAGGAGAGAGGAAGAGAAAATAGATGTTTGATCATTAAAAAATTGTTTAAGAAATGTAGGACCATAGATTTGGAGCTGGAAGGACTTTAGAGGCCTTTAGTCTACCTCAAGGGTTCTTATAGAAGGGACATGAGTTGAATATAGTCACACAGCTGGTAGGTGGTGGATTCCATCCCAAGTCCTCCAACTGCACCATGCTGCACCTGCATGTTGTTTCCTCACTTGTAAAAGTGAGGAGAGTTGAAGTAGACAATTTATAAGGAATCTTCCAGCTCTATTATTTTAACATTCTATGAACATTTCCTCCACTCTAGCCCACCTGCCTCCAAAGTAATCCTTTCCAAATCTATCTCTATTACCATTGCCAAAGCTGTCTTCTCTGCTTCTGACCTCAGCAGCCTTTTTTCTTATAGTGATTTTCTTTTGACTTCCAGATAAAGATAACATCTCAAACCTTTTCTCCAAAGGGCTTCCTGGGTTGTTGCACCCTATGTCTTTTCTGTTCTTAAACTGTTCCCAAAGTACTCATGAAGGATTTAAAGAAACATAGCAGAACTTAAAACATTTAGATGAATTCTGTTCCCTTCAAATTAACCTCTTTGGCAGCCCTTATACTTGTTCTGAATTGCTGCCACCGATAGAGTATCTAGCTCTAGTATCTAGGGTATCTACCAATAGACAATCTAGCTGAAGTAGCGCAGCATTCTGAGGGAGAAGCAATGGGTAGGATGTACTGTGTTGGTTAAGCATACCACCATCTTCTCAATCACCACCTTCTCTAGGTGGATACAGTTCAGGATCTTGAGTCCAAAAGATTAGAAATAGCAGAACCGTTCTCATACCCCAAGACCACCACCTCTGCTTCAAGCCTGGCTCTCAACTTTTGTAGAGAGTTGATCTAGTACCTGCTTCTGCCGGAACGACAGACCCGCTGCCTCAGGATCACAGCAATTGAAGACTAAGAAAAGAAAGTTCTCATACCAAAGATCCCTTGTAAAATAGTTCAATAGCAGAAATAGATATTTTTTTTCCTATGGAAGTGGAATAAATACATTAAAGAAGATAGCTTGCCATCAGCTTTGCTACCATAGACTAAAAACCATTGGGCCTTTCCTTCTGACTTACAACTAAGACTTCCTAAATGTGTGGTCTCCTTGCTTTTCTCTTTGTAGGCTTAGTTCTTACAGAGTGCTTTGCTCACTGTGAGTGCTTAATAAATGCTTTAAAATAATTATATTAGGGGAAAGGGAGATAAGAGAGGGGGGATGATAGAAAGGAGGGCAGATTTGGGGAGGGGGTAATCAGAAGCAAACACTTTTGAGGAGGGACAGGGTCAAAGGAGAGAATAGAATAAACAGGGGGCAGGATAGGATGGAGGGAAATATAGTTAGGCTTTCACAACATGACTATTATGGAAGTATTTTGCATGAGTACACAGGTATAACCTATATTAAATTTCCTGCCTTCTCAATGAGGGTGGGTGAGGAGCGAGGAAGAGGGAAAATTTGGAACTCAAAGTTTTCAAAATGAATGTTAAAAATTGTATTTACATGCAACTGGGAAATAAGATACACAGGCAATGGGCTATAGAAATTTATCCTGTCCTACAGGAAAATAGCAGATTATATAGATCCTAACTGAAATCTCCCCCACTCCCCACTGGCTCTTCTCATTGACTGGTCTTCAGAGATCACAGTCTAAGCGTGGAAACGTCTCTCCAGTACCAAGGACAAAAAGGGCAAGAAATAGGGAATGGTTTGCTTCAACAACTAGGGAGGGGGCCTGAGGAGGGATAGAATCCGGGTGAACAGGATGTGGCTCTGTCGTCTGATCTACTTGTGACACTCTGCTTTCTCATTGAGGCAGCTTCTGAGAAATGGGGATGGGGGGGCACCTTTTATCCTGTGCTGAGGGGCTTCACTATTTCAGCATTCCATTTACCTTTCAAATATAAAACAAAATTATCATGTAAATTTCTTTTTTCTCCCCCCCTACCATGGCTACCATCAGCCATATATATATACCAATAAGTATATATATGTAAAATTCTTCTATACATGCAGATGCAGATAGCAACTTTCCTCATATGCCTTTTTACCCTTATTGTTATTGTTGTTCGGTCACTTCAGTTGTGTCCAACTCTTCACAACCCTATTTGGGGTTTTCTTGGAAGAGATACTAGACTGGTTTGCCATTTTCTTCTCTAGCTCTTTTTACAGATAAGGAAACTGAGGCAAACAGGATTAAGTGATTTGCCTGGAGACACACAGCTAGCAAGTATCTGAGGCCAGATTTGAACTCAGGAAGATGAGTCTTCCAGGCCTGGCACTCTATCCACTGAGCTACCTTCTTCCTCTCTTCTCCAACTCCACCCCCAACTTTAAATGACAATTACAGAATTTAGCACTGTGCCCAGCACGCTTTAACTGCTTAATAAGTGCTTCCTGAATGATCAAACTCCTACATTGTTGGGGGGGGGGGAGGCGGGGTAAGGCAATTCAGGTTAATTGACTTGCCCAGAGTCACACATCTAGTAAATATTATGTCCTCCTGACTCCAGGGCCGGTGCTGTAGCTACTGTAAACTCCTACAACTATTAACACAGTTAAAAGATATAAATATAACTTAAAGCTTCAGAGGGAGGATGGAGTGAACATCTGAGAGTTGAGGGATTTTTTAGGTGCCCCACAAATGGGAGTATACCATCACCAAAGCCAAAGACTGAGAGTCAGAGGACCTGAGTTAAAATTCTGTCTTTGCTATCAATTGCTACCTGTGTGATCATGAACAGACTGGTCTCAGTTTTCTGTCTGTAAAATGAGGGGTTTGGGCTAGAGCAGAGGTGGCTGCAAGCAGCCTGCAAAACTCCCAAGTATAGCCCAAACCCAATTAAATTTAACTAGGAAATATTTAACAAAATAAATAAAAATATAATATAACACAGATACTGTAAATTTGTAGTTTTCTAAGGCAATATACTGGGATGGCTAGGTGGTGCAATAGATAGAGTGCTGGGCCTGGAGTCAGGAAGATTCATCTCCCCAAGTTCAAATCTGGCCCCAGCCCCTTACTAGCTGTGTGACCCTAGGCAAGTCACTTAATTCTGTTTGCCTTCAGTTTCCTCATCTGTAAAATGAGTGGGAGAAGAAAATGGCAAACTACTCCAGTATCTCTGCCAAGAAAACCCCAAATGGGGTCAGGAAGAGTCTGACCTGACTGAAAAATGACTAAACAACAATAACACTGCAATATACTGCCTGAAGTGATCCCTTTCTAGTTGAGTCTGACACCCGTGGCTAGAGGATCTCTAAAGCTCTTCAGCTCTAAATCACTGATCCTACTGTGCCTTGTCTAAAGTTGATCCTGCTGCATGAAAGAGACAAAGGGCAATTTGATTTGAGAGGAAATTGCCATTTTATAAATGCAACATTAACATATTCAGCTGTAATCCCAAACTCTATGGGAAAAAAAAAAAGAAAATCATATTGTGAGATCTGTGTCTCTGCCAACCACACTATACGACTTTTTCTTTTTAAATATAAAGAATGGTAGGAACCCCATGAAGCCTGAGCTGGAAGCTTCTTCCTCTGTTAGGAGTTTCTGCTGTTACCATGTTTCCTGGCTTGTTGAGTATTCCCAACATGTATTTTTTTTCTTACAAGAAGTGATTGTTCAGAGGAAACTTTTTGTTTACGTGTCAAGGAATGAAGCAAGAACAGATTTAGGTTTCTGGCAGTTGTGTTTATTTGTTGGGAGCACACGTTTCCACTTGCCACCCTGTAGAGAGAAGAATGCCCAGGCAAAGACACGGGCAAACAA